CAATATTTGGAACAACTAGAACAATCTGTATCGATAAGAAAATGTTTGATTTTTGAAAAAAGGAGGGCCAGCCAAAAAAATGGTTTTTTCTATTTTATGGAAAAATAGCAATAGCGTTTGCAATAAAATAATATCGTTTTGGAACAATGTGGTACAAAGTTAGAACAACCTGGAACAACTTTAAAAATTATTATTTTCAAAAAAGGGAGACTAACTTCATGCACTCTTTAATCTCTATCTCCATAACTTGTCACTTATTCCAGTGATGTTCACTTTTGACACCGTAACATATAACCTCCCACATAGCACGTAATATCCCTAACAGCACAGATATCCAGGGAACGTCCTGAGTACGTTCTGAGAACGTCCAAATATCCTCAGAATATCCTGGAACGTTCTCAGAAGTTCTTGTGCTGTTTGGGATTACTGTGATATTGTGTTATATTGCGTGCTATGTGGGCTATCACAACCAGAGTTGGGCAAATAAAATATTTGATGTAAATCACACGGTTTTAGACATGTAAAATACTAAGTATTTTACGTCCTTACATTACCTTAGTTTTTTACTGTAAAATACATCGAATGCTGTATGCGTCTCTTCAGGCCATTACTAAAACTTCATGCCATTTGTTGTCATATATGATGGTTAAGCGTGAATTCATACCTTGACAGAAAAGCAGAAAACAGGAAAGCCAATCAGAACCATGATTTTTTTGGAACGTGCCTCGGCGTTTTTCGAGGATTTTCCTCATATTATTAACTGGTAATTGGCGAAAGGACCAAAGAAGGTTTAGAACCACATAAAGAAAGAGAGAAAGAAAAAAAAAAAGAAACTAGATTAACGTTGTCGTGTAAGTTCCGATCTATAAATGTAGTAAGCTTTAAGCCGTAAGAAATTAACCAATCATAATTAATTATTCCTCTACAATTCCACTGTGATTAGTCAATTTCTTAAGGTTTAAAACTTACTATACCTATTGTTGATCGGAACTAAACGCTTAGTTTTTTTATATAAAAATTGTGTTTATAAATAAATATTTGCTTGTTTTAAAAGTAAATTAAATACAAATTAATCATTTTATACATCTAAATAAATTTTCACTAGCTCCAGATTCATTGTAATGGTTCTTGCACACAGAACGCGGTAATGCTTGCCGCGCGACGGAAGTTCGCACGACAACCAATCAATATGCTGCTTTCCGTAATAACCTTCTAATTCTTACGGAAAAACATATTGATTGGCTGTCGCACAGACTTCCGCCGCGCGGCAAGCATTACCGCGTTCTGTGTGTAAGTGCCATAAGTTTGGCTCATTGTAAACGGCTGCACCGTTGGAAAGAACAGTAATGCAGGATTCACACATCCCATGTCTGACGTACAGCGTCCGATATCCAATAGGAGAACAACTTTCTAATATAGAATTCAATTCTCCGTTAGAAAGCTATTCTTTTATTGGATATCGGACGTCATACGTCGGACATCGGACGCAGTGTAAATCCTGCATTAGTCATATGAGAATACGTATGTTATTATAAATACAAAATAAGTTTGATGTTTTTATTTTTCTTTATTATTAAGATATCTTTAAATTGTTTCTATCAATTTTAATAAGAATGATTGTAGTCGAAAATTTAAACCAACATTACATGAAAAAGTAAAAAATTACTTATTATGGTTTTAGTTTTTGAGATATTTTAAACCAAATTTTGATTGATAAAATAAAGTTATTGATAATATTATGATATTTTCTTCGCAAACATAATGAGTGCGTTCAGCGGAAAAAGCGCTCAGTGAGCAATCAGTAATTATTGGTTCTTACTGTTAGATCCCTAAATTTAGACCAATTACATTGACGAATTGCTCAACTGTTGTGCAACTGTTGAGTTCGCTGAACGCATCCAATGGGCGCATTCAGTAGAAAAAGCGCTCAGTGAGCAATCAACGATTATTGGTTCTTGCTATTAGATCCCTAAATCTAGACCAATTACATTGACAAATTACTCAACTGTTGTGCAACTGTTGAGTCTGCTGAATGCAGCCAATCTTACTCAATTTGTCATCAGTTTGTCATTTTTATTTATGTACTTGGCGTCATAGCTATCGTACTGCTTATATGTGTGATATTCTGTCTATTTATGTTGCCTTGTTGGAAAGCAATCAAAATATAAATATATGCATACAGAAATGGAATACTCAAGAGAAGTCATTACGAGAAAGACGGTGAGGTAACGTCTGCGCACTACGCAGATATGTTTAGAAAATATAACAGTTGTGCAACCGTTAAGTGATCGTCCTTGATTGAAGTATTCTTTTAGATCCATAGTATACCTAGAAAAATACTCCAACGACAGTGAGTCCTCACTCAACCATTGTACTCCTGAACGCTTTTCTGCTACTTCTTCTTTTGTGATTCTCGTGGCAACATCTTAGCAGTCACTCATCAATTAATTTCATCAGAATTTGAAGAAAGCCATCCTATCTGTGTACCATTAAGAGAAGCCATTGAAACAAAGCGGAAAGCGGTAAGAGTTAAAAAAATTGTTATAAATATAATTATAGGATAATATGAAAGGGATGATTTATGAATCTAAATCAAGGTTAGGTCATGTGATTGATTGTACTAGAGAAAAAGATAAATCTTTTGCATTTTATTCGCGAAAATATTCCAGTAACATCTTGAATAACAGTAATATTAAGAAAGTCAATATTATAATTTTCTATTTAATAATATAGATGTTATATAATATAAATTATATTGCACTTTGAATAGAGTCCGTTCGACACTCCAAATGCTTCGAAGTGTTAAATAAAGTAATATAATTGGTTTATCCCCCGCTCTAAAGCACTCGCAGCGCTAAACGTATTCCTTTATGCGATTTTTGTGTATTGTTTGTGATTTATTTGTTGTTATATCACAACAATCACTATCTCCTTGTCCACAACTCATACAGCACAAATGTCCGAAATATATCCTAGAGACATCCTAGAGATATCACATTGGCCCATATTCTGAATTCTCTTTTATCTATAAAAGTGCCTCTAAAAGAAGCTTAGGAGCCATCTGTTTGGCTGAAAAGCTACATTTAAGGCACTTTTATCGATAAAAGAGGAGCGGTGGTCAACCCATCCATCCTGACTGCGTTGCTTAACCTGATGATCGAGCGGCACGTGATTCAAACGATGTTCTTATAATTTATGCTTATAAAATGTATACCCAAACAGTATAAGATCTTCTGAGGATGTCCTAAGGACGTCCTGGGCAGCGATCACGTAATTTCGAGCGGAACTTTTCACTTTTCGCTCTATCGATTTCACGTGAACTTTTTCATTGTTCACGCAATCAAGTAACTCTATGCGTGAAAAGCACAAATCACTAAACATGGTTCCTATATGATTTCAATATCGGCCAAATCAGCTATATCCTTCGGCTGTAGAACATATTAACCTTAAAAACATCGCTATAACCTTAGGATTGTTATGTTTCATGTATCTCATCACAGCAATAGCATAATATATTCCGCATTTATCATGTCTAGATTTTCACTTTTCCGCCAGCACATTTCATGGCTAACAAGCTCACGTAAAAAGTTTCACGTTTCCACGTTTCGCCGAGTTACGTGATCACGAGTTCACGTGAAACTTTTCACTTTTCACGTTTCCGCCCTAGAGGAAAAGTTACATGATCGCTGCCCTGAAGACGAAGAAATGTCCTCAGGACTTTCTCAGGATGTACTCTAGGAGTGCTTACGATAACGAGAGCAAGTGAGATCTGGATCCGAGAGAATAGTGGGTGCTTTCCAATTGCTTAACATATCTTGACACACACGTACACAAAACCAGTTTATTGGTTACATATTATCTAAAATATCTTGTAAGATAATATGCAATCAATAAACTAGTTTTGTGTAATAAAGTGTACAAAATTGGAAAGTACCCAGTATAATCACCCATCTATAACTATAATATTCTATGGTCTGCTCTTGCTTCTACTCTTGCAGTCTCATGAACACAGGAGTAGATCAGGGGCCTTATTCTCGAAAAATATCGCATACGATATTTCTATGAAAAGCTATAGTTCATGTTATAATAGTATAATCTTCTATCTATAACTGTAATATTTTATGGTCTTGCTCCTGCTCTTGCAGTCTCATGAATACAGGAGCAGATCAGGAGTTCGTCTCACGAACAACAAAGATATAAACGAACATAATGTATCATTATTAAAGTGTATTAATATTTTATCTTAAATTTATACTTAGATGCGAATTTTTCAGCTGAATCAAAATTATATATAATATGTCACGTATTTCATAAGGTTCATTTAAAATAAATTAATCAAGCTCTTTGCAATCTTTGATAATTGCAATCTCCTGCATTATTCTCGAAAAATATCGCATACGATATTTTTCAAAAATACGGCCCCTGATCATCTGACGTGAGACAAGTTTCAAGTAATAATTATTAATACAGGTTCAGTCCTTGTTTAAGGAGTTTGAGACAGTATATTCATGTTACATATATTATAGCTTTTCATAGAAATATTGTATGCGATATTTTTCGAGAATAAGGCCCCAGGAGCTCGATTCTTGACGGTATACGAATGAGATACGCATATGAAAATAGTTCACGTTACGTATACTGTAGATTTTTGCATGCGTATCTCATTCGTATATCGTCAAGCATCGGGCCCTAGGAGTTCATCTCACGAATAACAAAGGGTAATGTATCATACTTAAAGTGTATTAATATTTTATCTTCTTTATTTAAAGAATTATGTAACATATTATTTCAGTTTATTAATTATTTGAGATTCTCAAACTCCTTAAACAAGGACTGAACCTGTATTAATAATTATTACTTGAAACTTGTCTCACGTCAGATGATCAGGGGCCGTATTTTTGAAAAATATCGTATGCGATATTTTTCGAGAATAATGCAGGAGATTGCAATTATCAAAGATTGCAAAGAGCTTGATTAATTTATTTTAAATGAACCTTATGAAATACGTGACATATTATATATAATTTTGATTCAGCTGAAAAATTCGCATCTAAGTATAAATTTAAGATAAAATATTAATACACTTTAATAATGATACATTATGTTCGTTTATATCTTTGTTGTTCGTGAGACGAACTCCTGATCTGCTCCTGTATTCATGAGACTGCAAGAGCAGGAGCAAGACCATAAAATATTACAGTTATAGATAGAAGATTATACTATTCTCTCGGATCCAGATCTCGCTTTACTCTCGTTATCGTAAGCATCCTAGATGTCTCCTGGACATCTGTGTTGTTAGGGTACTTATGGCTGCTGCACACAGAACGCGGTAATGTTTGCCGCGCGGCGGAAGTTTGCGCGACAGCCAATCAATATGCTGCTTTCCGTAATAACCTTCTAGCTCTTACGGAAAAACAATATATTGATTGGCTGTCGCGCGGCAAGTATTACCGCGTCCTGTATGCAGGAGCCATAAGAATAGGTTGGAATCCTCAAGTATAAATAAACAGACAACATAATAACTTAATAGCAAAATACCTGTAAGGTAAAATTCCTATTAAGGTAAAATTCAACATAATTAAAGCAATTATGATATAATTGTAGTTATTGAGTGAGTTTCAGATGCGCACATTGACAAACGGACACATCCAATCATATGTCGTTGTTTATAGAGTCTCTAGAATATCTCTAGGCATACGGCGTTGTGGGTAGCTGTGTCCGTTTGTCAATGTGCGCATCTGGAACATAGTTATTCAGATAAAATGGATTACATATTTATTTTATATATGTGGAGTTAAGCAGAAAAATTGCGCAATTTTAAAGGTGCCCCGATAGCACAGAAAATACTAAAAGAATTCAATCGTAAATTAATTAAATAAAGTAAATAATTGTCACCAATTCTGAGTTCATTTTTAGATACAAAAAGAATTCTTTTCACTGAACTGAACTTTGAAGAATTCTTTTTACATCTGAAAATAAACTCAGAATTGATGACATACGACTGAATTCTTTTTGAATTCTCTGTGCTATCTGGGTGGTTTTTAAGGGTAGTTGCAACATTACAAGCATCTCTTCTTCTTCATCTGAAGAATCAATTAATTCACAGTTTCGAGCTATGTGACGCGCCATGTTAAGCCAATGGCACATAGTGCTTGTTTTCGTGGATTGCTTGCTGGATGTAAATACTCCGTTTTGATTGGTGCATTTCAACCTATCTTCAGAAATGTACCAATCAAAATAGAGTATTTACATCCAGCAAACAATCCAGCACGAAAACAAGCACTGTGTGCTGCTGGCTTTATTCACTGTCCTGTGACTTTGGGTGCGTTCAGGAGACACAACGGTTACACAACGGTTAAGTAATTAGTCAATGGGCGCATTCAGTAGAAAAAGCGCTCAGTGAGCAATCAACGATTATTGGTTCTTGCTATTAGATCCCTAAATCTAGACCAATTACATTGACAAATTACTCAACAGTTGTGCAACTGTTGAGTCTGCTGAATGCAGCCAACGTAATTGGTCTATTGACCGCTCACTGATCAGCTGTTTTTTGAACGCAGACGTTCTTTCCTCACTGTCAGGACTTCACGCTCCCCGTTCACATTCCACACCCGGGTGTATTCTATTACTAGAAGTGCTATAATATATGTAACGTATACTATAGTGTTTCTAGTAATAGAGTGCACCTGGATGAAGAATCTGAACGCACCCTACACTGTTCAGTGTAGTGCAATGCAGTGCTAGTGTAGTGCAGTGCCAATGCAGTTCAGTGTAGTCCCAATGCAGAGGAAAAAAACAGACCTATTGAGCACTGCTGCACTGAAAAAAAACAGCGATGACGTCATAAAGTCGCCATAATCATTGGAAAAAACAATTTAGTGTATACTGCTTGCACTAGTGCCGCCAGTGTAGAGGAAAAGAACAGACCTCAGACCTAGTGAATATTGCAACGCAGCCTACGTAGACTCTATATTACAATAATAAATTGTTATCGACAAATATTTTTTGATAAGAGAGATTTGATTATCGAAGATAGAACGAAATTATACATACATGACAGTAATACGTGACTTTTAAAGTAATTTTTAAAGTGTAAAGATTGCAAGAATATCAAATAGCACAATTTGTCACGATAATAATTTTTAATATATAATGTCGTGAGTGAATATTTATTATTATTTACAATTGTTGAATTATTATAAATATTATATTTTACTACAAAAACAATAGATTTTAAAAGGAAGAAATTAATATAGAATAACTTATTAAAAGTTTAATCATGTGTATTTAAGTTGTATTGTTTTTTTCTTTGTTCTGTTTATTGTAAACATCATATTGTTAACAACAAATTATACATATATAAATGTATTAATGTAAATTTTATAGATTTGCAGTAAAGTGTTGCTAACTTTTAAACTTCTAAACAAAACAATTATCTTATTTAAACAATTAAGACATGGATTCAACTCAACATGAGACACCTAAAATAAAAGAAGTAACAGACAAGTCTTGTTTTACGGAAACATCTAATTTTTGGAGTAATTTTACATCAATTCCCAAATTGGAAGACTCATTGCCTTGTGCAAATACTGATGATAATGGCAGTGACAAGGAAACAGAAGTTAGTTCCTTTGTAGTATTAGGAAAGGATTCATTGGATGCTATTCAAGCCTCTTCTTTAGCTTCATATGTTGACATTCAACAAAAAAGCATGTCAGTTGTATGTATATTGAAATTTAATATTATTTTGCTTATTAGTTCTATCCATATTCATACATACATATATATATATATACATATATATATATATATATATATATATATATATATATATAATATTATTTAATTACATATATATACAATTGTTATTTTTGTAGGATTATGACACAATGGTATCATCATTAGCAACAAATGAAATACATAAGAAACTTGCAGACCTTTTGCAAGAGAATATGAAATTGAAGGAGACCTTAAAACAAAACAATTTTGCCATGAAAAGACAACTTAATACCATGGTTTTATGGCAAGATATGGTCACAAAACTACATGAAAATAATATGGAAAAATTTAAAGAAACTACTACCTTAATCAATGATCTTAAAAAAGAGAATTTGGAGCTAAAAACTAAACTCTCTACGCAACAAGTTGAAGATAACAATTTTGAAGTATATAACCAATTGTGTATATCGTAAATATATTTATAGTAATAGTATATTATACATTCTTCCTTTTTCTAGCCAATTATGTATGGTACACTTTCTGATTTTGATAACAGTAATACTTGGAAAACAGTGCCTCAGGAATTAGAAGTATCTGCATTTAAAAAAGAAACATGTGCATTGCCTAATGATCACAAGTCTAAGCTCGCTATGCCACAAACTGAAACAACACAACACAACCTTAAGGTATAAAAGCACTAGAAATATGTAATATGTCATATTTATAGTACCAATATATTGGTATTATAATGTTATATTTACAGTACCAATATATTGTACATTCTGTTTTTTCTAGTCAATTAATACAGTGTCTAATCCTAATAACATTTTTACTTTTGAAATATTACGTCAAGAAGAACCACTGTTAGAAAATTGTGAAAGACAAATATTATGTGAATATAATATAGATGAAACATCTGCATCATCTACACTTAAAAAAGAGAAATATGCATTGCTTAATAATTACAAGTCTAAGCTTACTATGTCACATACTAAAACCATAAAACACAACCCTATACCTTATTTTAAAGTATAAAAGCATTAGAAATATATATTTTATTTACAGTGCCAGTATATTGTACATTCTGTTTTCTCCTGTTTTAGCCAATTAACACAATCTCTAATCCCAATTTAACTTTTGAAACTTTACCTCAAAAAGAAGCACATATACCTGAAGAGCAAAAATATGCACTATCAAATAAACAACAGGTTTCTCTATGCGTTTGCAAGAATTCATTTGACTTCCATACAAATATGTGTGATTGTGAGAAAGAAAATAATGCCAAACCAAAGGTAATAAAAGAAGAATCACTGTTAGAAAATTGTGAGAAACAAATATGTGAATATAACATAGCTGAAAATATTGCAAAATTTGAAAAGTCAACAGTTGATCAGATACGCGAGGTAATGTCTAAATACTGTTTTAATAATACGCGTACATATATACATACACTAAAAAGGGCCATTTAACATTTACGCAAAATTTGAATAGGATAAAATTTTGAATTTTTATCCTATTTCTCCTTCATCATATTTCGTATGATAAAATTTGAGCCCTCTTCCAATAATACAAGACATGTATTACATTCCCCACCCCTTCTCCACTAGAATAAAAAAAAATAGTTTATATGACGAATAATAATTATTTGACGATGTTATCTTTTTCTAAGATACAAATAATTTTTAAACATAATATCAAATTAATTATTTTATTTTATAATTTCAGTTAATAAAGATCGTGTTTGAAAGAAAATAAATATTTCAAAATAAAATAAAAATAAAAATTACTAACAAAAATTAATTATTTTTATAAAATATATTTTTAGATATAAAATACGTGTGACGCTCAATGGTTTTTATTTATCTCTCCCCCCTACCCCCTCCATTATTACAGATTCTAAGTTAAAAATTCTACGCTTCTTTGCTTCCATCTTATTAAGTGACATAATTGTTAAATGGCCCCTAAAGATATTTCAAATAACTAAATACGAAAAGTGTGCAAGATAATTATATTTCGTTTTAATTATGTTACTTTTGCATTTTTCAGCTCACTCTTCTTATTGACAAGTGTAAGATGAATCCAGTCTACTGGAATGATAAGGATTACGAAAATAATAGAACACGTTATAACAATTTAATAAGTGAATTGGTCAAAAACTACATGGAAGTAGTTAATAAATGTATGGCCTTTACATATTGCTCAGATTATATGATAACCATGTTTGCAGAAATTGAAAAAGCTATTAATGCGCCGACGTTTGAAGAAAATTTGAAGTTGTTGAAAAAACAAGTTGCAAAACACAAAATTCGGGCGTTTTTCTACAATCACTTAGCATGTTGCAATAATGATATACATCGTCTAACTTATACATTATCTGATGCTCTAAAAAATGTGCAAGAACACATTCGTGATGTATTTGCGGATTACTGGGAGAATGTTAATATGATGTACTTAATGATAGACGAAACTTCAAAGATGAACGATGCACATGATAATGATTTTTACAATAATTCGCAAAAACAGACTGAAGTGCAACAAAAATTAAAAATGTTGGCTATTCAACAAAGTAAAATGCAGAAACAAGAAAAAGAACTCGAGGAGAGAATACAGGAGCTAAATTTGCAACAACAATCATTAAACGATGAGAGGCACCGTATGCGCGAAGTAGACATATTACGCGAACAACTTATACGACGCAAGAATTTATACGACGGCAAAGTACGCGCTCTGCTAAACGAAAAACTATTATTAACGCGAGACCAAAAAATAGATTCAACTGACCTGTTACAGAAGTACAGACAAAAGAATATGGAATGTGAAATATTACAACGCGAATTAGATCAAACCGTAAGTGAATTTTTCGTCAAACTAATTCGGTTTCCCGTAACATCACGTATTCAAATAAATATAAATCACGTTACAACACAAGTTTCATCATTTTTATATAATATTTTTTTATATTTTAATGTTATTTAATATTTTAATTTTATTATTATATATTTTTATTATTTAATTTTAATATTATTTTTATATTATTTTTATATTATTTTTTTTATTTTATATTTTAATATCTTTTTTTATATTTTTTTAGAAATTAGAAATCAATGCGTATAAAAACCAAATGTCCGTGTATGAAGAAGACTTTAAACAAGAGAGAAAGTTAAAAGAGTTATTACTGGAGGAAAAAAATAAATTGGACGCGGAATTACAAAAGCAAGTAAACTACAACAAACAATTGACCCATAATTTATCATCTACTGCTCGTTCAACGTCGGAACGCCTTTCTCAAACTTCAGTAAGTACTCTTTTGAGAGTAAAGTAATATTTTTGTTTAAATAAATATTAGCCTAAGAATCATTTTTTGCTTTGTTATTACGCATGCTTCATTTTGCTCCCTCATGTTATAAGGAATATATTGTATATTTCATATTTCATGTATGTGCAAATTTTAGTATTTGTTTAGACTTGCAAATTTAAACGTAATTACAGAATAAAGAAGTAATGCCACCGTGTCCGAAATGCGAGAGACAATTTGCTACGTTACAAAGTTTGACGGAGCATATTGAACAATGCTTGAACTTGAGCTAATAAGCTACTTAAGCTTAAACTGGAAATATCTTAACTCGCGCTAATTTGCCGAATAGCCCATTCGCTATTGTGGATTATGTCGCCAGTACACATCATCATATCAGTATCACGGATTCGGAAGATGCACACCGTCGTTCGACTGAACTTAAAAGCAGCCTAAGATTTACATCTGGAAATATAGGAAACAGGATAATATGCGCATATCGCACGTGTGATAAGTTTATTAACACCCAAAAATTATATTACCTCAAAAGTAAGATAAATTGATTATGTTTAAGTAGCATAATTCTCTTATATTTAGTTTATGATTTTATTTTATTACTCTTATGAACTATTTTTCTTTTAAAATTGCAATCTATTTTAAATCTAATTTCCTTTTAAAGATGAATTCTTTTCGTTCGTAATAAATATCTCTCGATATCTATCCATAAGAATGTGAAATATTTAACCCTGGTTAATGCTTGTTTTTTTGACGGCTTGTCTTTATTTTTTAAACTATACTCCGTTGGAATTGCTTCGCCTATATGGGCTTTCACGATTGCCTTCTCCAATCTAGTAGAGTCCAAGACACGGTAGAGTGAGTACTTTATACCGCACTCGGCATGTTCTGAGAACAAATAATTAAGTAAGATTGGCATATCCGTCAGAAAAGTGGATATTAATAACCAGCATTGAAAAAAGATATTAGTAATCCAGGGTTAAATCATTTATAGGATTAAATATTAACAAAATTTTAAATACTATATTTTGGATTAGTATTAGTAGTAGTAATTGTAAAAGCAAATGTAGCTAATATAAACTCTCCAAAGATACCTGGGATGGATACTCCATTATATCTATTTGCTGGTTTCTTAGGCTAATGCCAGCATCAGTTTAACAGTCCTCATCAGACAGAACAGATGATTTGCTCTAATTTTTAGTAGATTCTTGCGTTCTATGCAGAAGTAACCCAGGATATATTTTGTATTAACTCTGTTTATATTTTTTTCAAATTCAGATTATGCTGATATTAGAATGCAATCTCATATTAGAATGTTCAAGTTTTTGGAGTGTTCACTTCTTTTAATGTCTTATTATCTAATGTATAACAAAATTTATACATAAAAGAATATATATGTAATATTCAACATGTAAGATGGTACATATTCATAGTTTAATCTTATATTTAAAATGTTGACGTCGTAAGTTCATCTTCAGATGTTTCATAACCAATGAAAAATTATTTGTACATCTAAAAATAAACTTAAGACAAACTTAAACATAAATTATAGCTGTGAATACCGATCATAATAATCTTATTCACTTATATTGTAAGTAATATTAATTGCCGAAAACTTTTATTAAATCAGATCTAAAATGCTTTTAACAAAGAATGCTTTTATTCAAGTTCTCAAGTTTGTCGAAAGTGACATAATATACAAATATTTTTATTTAATTCTACTACTACTATTATTGTTACAGTTCTACTACTATTATTGTGTTATCTATAACTTTATATTATTGCGTTATCCACGTCGTAGTACCTGTGTATACGGCTATTCGTACAATGTATAACAGTATTAATAAATAAATGCATTATTTTCGTAGCTACTCTAGCGAATATTAGTTAAACTAGATGGGATAAACTTAAAAACATCTGGTGAATTTGATTGGATGCATTACTGCGTGCCAATGCTCGTTAAGCTGGTATATGGTAACTCACAGGCTAACATCATAGTTGGATCTTATACTTAAAATCCTTTTAAACTCATTTTCAGATGGATAGCTAATAAA